CGTGATCTTGTAGTCATTAGTGGACATGTACAGAGCTGCAAAAAATTTGTTGTTTGAGGTGCACATGCCTAGCTAAGCTTGAACAAGGCAAGGCTCTGCCTTCCCTTTTTTTTAGCTCTTATTTTAAACAAGTATCCCTTTTGTGGCTTACTTGGTGGCACATTTTTGTGCTTTTTTTTTTTTTCTTTTGATTTTGGTGTTTAAGCTGGATCCCAAGCATAGTGCTGAAGTCTTGTCTGGTTTCTTAAGGGGGATGTGTCTTACAGAGAAAATACAAGGCTATATATTGATCAGTTGATGAAAATATTGTGACCAGAGGCTTCCAGGAACCTAACCCTATAATTTCCCTAGGAATAATAGTTTAGTATTCACTAATTATTTGCAGCAATTTTATAGGACATAATAACTAACATGAATAACAAGAATCAACTGTATCTCTTTAATTTGTACATGAAATAGGCAAATTATGCTCTAAGAGTAAATATTTTTCCAAGAAGTTTTCCTTGACCTATTTTGAGTGAACAAATAAATTATCACCAGTAGTTTCATCAAAATCCATATTTACACCAGGACTAATGATTCCGAATACAAAAACATTTTTGTGTTTAATTTTTTTTTCAATTTGAAATTCTTTGCATGTTCAGTGATTTCACTATGCAGCTGAATTTTTTTGACCAAATGCTATAGGTGACAGGACAGTACTGTATATTTCATATTATATTTTGGTGTTAAAAATTTTTATACCAAGATTTTATTAAAATGTTAAGACAAATCTGAAGACTTTGTACTTTGAAATCAAGTTTCAATTGGGTTAGTTCAAACATCTGTTTTCAAGAATTAATTTGAAATCGTATGAGAACCCAGCATGAGACTGCTTCATATTTTACATCTCTTTTAGAGCCAGATGTTGACAGATTATTAATGATAACACAAGGACCCGTTTTATGACATTGCTATTGTCACCATCCTCAGGCATGCTAAGTTTTTGAAATTTTTAATAGAAAACAACTTAGGCCTTCCTTTTTTTTTTCAGTTTGATCATTGATAGAAAAGAATTGCATTTCCAGGAAAAACAAATAATCATGATTGAAATATGAGAAAACTAAGGGAGATGAAGAATTGTATATACAAGTCTTGCAAAGCTATGCAAGCATCGACATGAACAAATAAGCTTATTGGCAAGCAGGACATCAGAACAGTTGAAGTATCATCAAATAAGTTTTATAAAAGTGTTCATCGTTTTCATTTGGTGAAAATACAATTTTGTCAAAACAAAGTAATATCTAACATGTATTGATTATTAACCATGAAATGAACTTTATATTATGTACTTTCTCATATAATACAGCAGCCTTTTGAGCTATAGATAGTATTATTTTTCTACATTACCTGTGAAAAAACTAAAACATAGAAGTCAAGTAACTTCCCCGTGATCCTCTAAGTAGTAACAGAGTCAGGATTCCAATTCAGGTCTGCCTGACACACACTATCCTCCCTCCATGACTTGCTTCACAACTAACACACTGGATGTCATGTCTTTTTGAGAGTTTTATCACTTTTTTGACAGTTACATCCATATTCCACATTGTTAGCATGCTACGGAAGACTGGAGAGTGAGGAAGGAATACTGTAGACACCCTTTCCTTTCTCTAAATGCTGAGCTTATAAGATTCTCGGGGGTGGTTTATCATACTGTATTTTTACCCAGAATCAAGAAATGCTTTAAAAGGAGAGGAAAGTCCCAACAGGCAATTGGCAGTATTGTTTAGCAGTAGGATAGAAAATGCGGTCTAATCTTGCAGTTTTCAGTTTTATTTGTCTGAATGTATACACTGTACACTATGTATACATAAGCCTTAACCCTCCATTCTCCCTATTTTCTTTTTTTTTAAGTACCAGCTGCAAGCTTTACCTCTTTGTACCTGCCGGATGCTTTGTGAGTCACATTATCCAGCGCTCAATTTAAGTGATCCCCATTGAAGTCCAGAGCCTAGGGAAATCACCCTGATTCTTTGTTCCCTAGCAACAGTCCTGAGACCAACAACAGCTGCTTAACCATTTGCCTCTAGAAAGATTCTGTAGGAAAAATACACAGAAATTGTTAATAAATAAAATAAATTGTTAATAAATAAAAAAGCCTCAAATCTTGAGACTTCAGACACCATAGTTACCATGTTTTATTATTCCCCTTTAGTGGGACAAAAACAAGAGAAAAGAATAAATTTAATTATTTAAAATGATACTAAATATGCTAGATGAGTTTAGCAACTAATGCAATTTCTAGATATTTTCTTGCTAAGTTAAATAGAGGAATAGCCATGATGAAAATAAAATGACCTTTGTGATTGAGAGCCTTAGAATGTTAAATCTGTGTCACAATTAAGTTGTACTTATGTTGTAATGTGACATGGCACATTTAAACATTAAGCAAATTGAAGACTTTATGTACTTATGAATTTTTGTTGACATTCTATATTTCTTCTATGTTAATCATTTTTACTGTCTCTCCATAGTTTTGCCCTTTCTAGAATGTCTTATAATTTGAATCATACCGTAAGGGACCTTTTCAGAGTCACTTCTTTCACTTAGTAATACACATTTAAGGTTCTTTCATGTTTTTTCATGGCTTTATAGCTCTTTTCTTTTTAGTGCTAAATAATATTCCAGTGTGTGGATGTACTGTACCAAAGCATGTTTAGTTTTGTAAGAAACGGCCAACATAGGCCGGGTGCAGTGGCTCATGCCTGTAATCCCAGCACCTTGGGAGGTCAAAGTGGGAGGATCAATTGAGGCTGCTACTTCAAGACCAGCCTGAGCAAGCTACCAAGACCCCATCACTACAAAAAAAAAAATTATTTTAATTAGCCAGGTGTAGTGGTACATGCCTGTGGTCCCAGCTACTCAGGAAGCTGAGCTAAAAAGATCACTGGAGCCCAGAAGTTTGAGGCTGTAGTGAGCAGTGATTGTGCCCCTGCACTCCAGTGTCTCTAAAAACAAAAACAAAAAACAGAAGAAAGAAAGAAACTACCAAAGTGTCTTCCAGAGTGGTTGTATCATGTTGCATTCCTACATCCTCGACAGCATTCAGTATTATGTTGTGTATATGCATGCCATTCTTGTAGGCGTGTACTGGTATCTTGTTTTAATTTGCAATTCCCTAATGACAAATATGTTAAACATCTTTTCATATGCTTATTTGCCAGTTGTGTATTTTGTTTGGTGAGGTGTCTATTAAGATTATTTGCCCATTTTTAAAGTGGTTTGTTTTGTATTGTTGAGTTTTAAGAGTTCTTTTTTTATATTTTTGGATATCAGTCCTTTGTCATATATGTGTTTTGGAAAGATTTTCTTTTGGTTTATGACTTGTCTATTTCATTTTCTTGATAATTTTGTATTTTTTAAGAAATTAATTTATATATCTTTACCACTAATTTAGGAACTGCTATCATCATTGTGGTATATATAGTAAGGAGAAAAAGGTTATCTTTTGTGCTTTTTTAGCACAAAGCAAATTTTCCCACATTTAAAAATCAGTATGCTCCTTCTCTTCGTACCTCCCACTGCCCCTTTATAGCTTAAGCTGCTGGGAATCTCAGCAGAGGAGAAGGAGGAGTTAAAAATTATCCTGGACTATTTTTCTCAGTTTTGATCAGCAGATGACCTAATATAGTGGCCATTATCCAACCATTAGCCAGTTTAACACATGGATGATGCTTTTTTAAATACTAAAAAAATAATATCTTTGACATCCTTTGAAATTCTGCTCAATTCTCAAATTATTCCTAACTACAGAATATCTGGTCATCACTGTTTTATTTTTTTTTCCTTTGGTCTTTTTTTTTTTTTTTGCTTCTGTTTTTGTTAGTCCTTATTGTAAACAGTTAATTAAAACAACACCATATTTTAAACAGTTCAGGTCATGCTATAAAAATTATTTGACCATTTTAGTGATTTTATGCAAAAGTCAGTATTTTTTCCCAGGTTTTTGAAATACACAGTTGTTAATAGTTAAGTATTCTTAATATAACAGTATTTTGTTTGAAAAAGAGATTATGAAAGTAATTTATTTGTATGAGTTAATGACTCTTTCTGATTTAGTTTCTCCTAAATGAATTTATTTGGTAAGGAAAAGCTACTTACTTTAAAGGCATGAGCAAGTAAGAAGTCTGGGCCAGTCATTTTCTAAAAACCTTTGTATGTTTGGAAGTCAATATATGCAACAGATAAATGTAGAGATGCTCTGGGTTGGGGGAGACTGGAGTAAACTTTCTTCTCCTGTCTTTTCCCAAGTACCTCTGAAGAATCTGTAGGACTATGTAGAGAAGAATTGGAAAATTGTCTAAATTACAATTTTTAATTTAAAACAACAAAACCAAATAGTCAGCTATTACTGAGCTATTTATCATGGAGTTCTAGGTGTCTAATTTATAAGGTTTCTGAATTAGACTTCAGGGCCTATGTTACATTTTATTACAGTCTACAACATAAGTGTAGACTGGCAAGAATTAAACTAAAAGCCTGTTTCACAGCTGTTACGCATCTGGGAGTTTGGTTAAAAGGGGCTAGCTTAGCTTGGCCTCCATTGTGATAAAAAGCAGGGTCTGGAGGCCTTTTAACTAAAGTCCTGTGCTCTGATCAGAGCTGTATTTAATACTGGCCCATAAGTCCACATAATTATAATTTGTAAGAGTATTAAGGACATCAGTAACTTTTAAACCTTACCACGTGAAAAATGATTATGTCACCTGTGGACTTTAAAAGCAGTAAGCAAACTGGGATAAAGGTGATGACCAAACCAAATATTTCTAAAAGTTTCTCTGTCCAAGTTTTGTACTTACTATGTTCCAGCTATTCTTTGTGATATACTACTGGTTTTAATAGGCTTTAATGAGGAATTTTAACTCTGATAAATGAATGCTTCATGTCAGATTTGTTATACCACTGGGAAAGATGGGTTACTTTTTTAATGTCACCCTTATTACATTCTGGCTTTCTCCCAGGCTTGCAGATGGGTCAGGGGCTGTGGAGAGTGGCCAGAAACCAGCAGCTACAACAGGAAAGTTATAGTGAGCAAGGCTACCTCACCAGAGAGCAGAGCAGGAGAATGGCTGCAAGCAACATTTCTAACACAAATCATCGTAAACAAGTCCAAGGAGGCATTGACATATATCATCTTCTGAAGGCAAGAAAATCTAAAGAACAGGAAGGATTCATTAATTTGGAAATGTTGCCTCCTGAGCTAAGCTTTACTATCTTGTCCTACCTTAATGCAACTGACCTCTGCTTGGCTTCATGTGTTTGGCAGGACCTTGCTAATGATGAACTTCTCTGGCAAGGGTAAGTTAAACCCACTGATATTTGATTCAGATATCTCTAAACATAATCATGCTTAAATATTCCTTTTATAACATACATTATTAAATGTTTTCTTTTAACTTGGGCTTGTACTTTGAGTTGCTCTTTATTAAAACCTGAAAAAATAAAAATAACAGTTATCATCACAGTCAAATTTGGTATTGGGAAAAGAAACATAATAGAAAAGAAAATAGAATAATAGCTTTACAGTTAGAAGAGAGGTTACCAATTGAGATGTGTCAGTTTATTATAAATCAGAAATTGTCAGTTTATTCTAAAAATAAAACAAAATTATGAAGTGAGAATTTCTAATTCAAAACTTGGAGAGTTTACACACTGGTATAGTTTGTGCATCCTATGGCATCCTGTTGGAAGGAAGAATAGGCATACTTAAAAATCAATAGTCCTCAAATGTTATTGTTTTCATTGGTTACAAATGGAGTATATGTGTATTTGTGTTTATTTATATTTCTTTTATCAAAGGTGCTTGTTAGCATCAACTGGTGAAAATTTCATCTGCTTTTTATTTTTCCTAACCACCATTTCAATGGTGAATGAAGTAGGCAAATACTAGAAAGCAAGGAGATAAACAGTTTACTTGCTGAACTTAAAGTAGATTATAGGAATTCTAGCAGCTATGATACCAGTTTAAATTTAAACTACAAATCTAAGCATCTTTGGTAGAATAGGATCTGTTTTATTGAACCTAACTTACTCCTCAAATAGCATTATATACTTACAAAAAATTGTAGGTACATTTTTTTTTCTGTTGAGTCCTGAAATTGTTACCAAACATAGAATAATCACTGGATCTCATATTTTCTAGCATTCTTTACAAAAGTTTATTTAAGTCTCATTATTTTAAAATGGGACTTTCAGAAAGATATAGAACATATCTAAAAACAAAAGTCTGTCTGAGACTTCAAATAATTTCTAACTGGAAATCTGAGAGAATTAATAAATTAATCTAAATCACCAAACTTTGTTAGAAATATATTTTCAGTAATGACATTCCTAATTTAGGTTTCCTGATGTCACAGAATTATAGTATAAATTATATAGGTCATTTCTCAGTCTTTACATAGATAAAAATGATCCATACCCTTTTGTTATTCTTCATTGCTTTGTCTGAGTGAAGTACTATTTGAGAAGAAATTATATTAAAGTAGTGTTTAAAATAAATAACAATTATTAACTTTTGAATCATGTGAGTATAAGAGGAAATGAAATATTTTTAAACTGGCTCATTCTTTATAATATTTTTTCTACATTTTAGTATTCTCCACAAATTTAATTTGTGTTTCTATATTTAAACTTTAAAATAAGTTTATTGCTAAGTTTATCTGAACTTAGTCAGAATATATTCTTTATTTGGGGTTTTAATTTGAATCTTTCATCTTTGAAAGAAATGCTTCCATTGCTGTTCGCCATATAATTATGCCTATTTTTATGACACTTGGATTTTTTTCTTAATGATAAATTGCTTCCATTTGAAATTAAAGGCTGGCTTAGTTTTTATTTTAACTTTAGATGTGTTGAATACTTATTGATGTCGGTTGGGGTTCTGTTGCTTGCACATAGCTTAGTAATTAAACTTGAAAGCTATGGGATTAGATTGAAGAGACTGCTAAAATATTGATAATTTCCTAAACAATTTATTATACTTACAGTTTTAGAATCAATGATTTCATTTGGTTGGTAAAAATAATGCAATGATATAAATTAACTATTAACAGGATAGTCTCAAATTAGATATTTTACCCACTTATCCTCACAATTTTTGATGTTATAGGCTGAGACAATGATGTTGTCTTTGTGTGTGTGTGTGTGTGTGTATGGGTGTGTGAGAGAAAAGAGGGACGCATGAGGCAAAAGTCTATAATGAATATCAGAAAGTGAAGCTCTTTTGTCTCAACAAGTAGCAGGTATTGTTGAACACAACAATTCAAATAATTTTGAGGCAAAGACTCATTAAAATTGTTTCAGAATATAATTTCAGTATTCTCTGTGTCTCTAGGATAATGTGCTTATATTTAAGGCTCTATGGTATATATCCAGAATTTCCAGGCATTATAGTAAGATAAAATTTAGCTTTCAAATAATATCCAATAGCTATTGCCTCTGTGCAAAGTTGGAAACAACTATCCCAATCTGCAGAAAATAAGTATTAACAGTTAGCATTACAGGTTTTATACAGTTTTTAAACAATCATGTATCACAGTGATAGTAAAGAACAAGTGTTTTTGAAACAGTATCTTAAAAACAGCTATATTTAACACCACAGCTTATTAGAGTGCAGTAGTGGCATCATCATAGCTCACTGTAACCTCAAATCCCTGGGCTCAAGCCTTCCTTCTGCCTCAGCTTTCTGGATAGCTGGGACTACAGGCATCAGCCACCACACTTGGTTCATTTTTTGTATTTCTGGTAGAGACAAGGTCTCCCCTGATGCTCAGGCTGATCTCAAACTCCTGGCCTCAGACAGTCCTCCTGCCTCAGCCTCCCAAAGTGCTAGGTTTACAGGCATGAACCATGAAGCCTGGCCTTACAATTTCTATGTTTAATTTATCTGTTGTAATAAGATTGTCCTCCTGCCCAGCAGTATTTTCCCCTGATTTAGTTTTGCTTCACAATAGAGGACATAGATTACTTAATAAATTCCATTTTTAGCTTTTTGGTTAAGATTACAAGCTCTGGATTAAGACTTATTGGGTTCAAATCCTACCTCTATATACATTAGCTTTGTGACCTTGGGCAACATTTTTGTCTCTCTGTTTTTATCTGTAGCATCAACATCATAAGATTGTTATGAAGACTAAGCAAGCTAATACAATTAAAATACTTAAAATAGTGCCTGACTTCTAGGAAGCACTCAGTGAATGGTAGCTATTATTACTATTATTGTTAATAGTTTGTGTTTACCTTCAGATAGTACTCATGAATATTATGAATCTTTGTAATTCACAGTTATTAGGTACTATCAAAATTGCTAAATTTATGGCATCTGTCATATTCTAGTAAATAAAAAATAAGTATAAACTTAAAAATTTTTAATTTGAGGGCTATAAAATCCAATTTTATATCATTTCATGTTACTATTTCATTATATGTATGCCTGTTTAACTTAGGAAATTAAGTATAGTAATATTTTCTTGTCTCTTTCTCTTACAGGTTGTGCAAATCCACTTGGGGTCACTGTTCCATATACAATAAGAACCCACCTTTAGGATTCTCTTTTAGAAAATTGTATATGCAGCTGGATGAAGGCAGCCTCACCTTTAATGCCAACCCAGATGAGGTAAGTGAAGAATTTGAATATTTGTATCCAGTGAACTTTATTGGTGTCTTCCTACAACTTTCACTATAATAAACTAGCAGAGAAAATAACAAATCATTGAATGGCATATTCAATCACTGAAAAGAATCCCAGTATTTTAACTAATTGCTATATGACATAGTCATTTTTTTTTACCTTACCATGTCATATTCTAATATTTCTACCTGTACACTTTTGTATGGCAGCACCCTTGCTATATACACAGTCCTCTATAGACCTGATTGAGATACTAGTATATTGTAAATTAGGAGAGCCCAGTATTTTGATAATGAGAACACAGTATATTTATCAAATTTTATATGCAGCATTTTTCCCTGTTTATTGTTTTTATTTAATAATAGTTACTTTTATTAGTGATAACCACAGAGGACATCATTCTAGTTACTGACATATCAAAATGTTATCTTTAAATAATTTTAACAATATGGTTCCATGTTAACATAGAACTACTTACAGATTCTGTTATAAAACTGAATAATTTTGTATTATTTAACATAATATGTAAGAATGATAAAAGTGTTATGATAATTGTTTCACTGATTTGTTTTCTATTCTCATTATAATATATCCTGGAAAAGTTCAGATTTTAAAAAATGCTTAACTATTTGCTAGACTTAGTCTTATAAATCTAAGTGGAAATTATACAGTATTCATAACTACTATTTTTGGTTGTGTTATTTTCTGTGGAAAAATTTAACCAGCAGAATTATTTTAATTTACTTAATTTTCAAAGACCAACTTTTTAAAAATTGTTGTAGAGAAATAGTAACTGTTTAAATCATGCTGCCAAATATTTTCCAAAATTAACTTAACTTTGGTTATAATTAGGGAAATGTTTCTCCCATGTAAAGGATTTGAATTTTAAACAGAAATACTGACTCTTTAAGTGTGCACATAGTAATACCAATGACATATATTTAAAATAAATTGATTTTTACTTATTATATATGATTTCTTTATTAAATTTTTCTTATACATGAAGAAACCTTTGCCATTGCAAAGGTTTACTGATATACACACTCTTATCCATCAAGTCTTATCCCCACAAATGTAATGAAGTATAAATATTATAGAGCCTGGCATAGTATTTAAATTCAGATATTTAATTCAGGCATGTGTTTTGTTTACACCACTATTTAAAGAGATCTTACTTTCAATGAATAGAAAACTGATATTCTTAATGAAGGTAGAGTTTATAAGAAGTTGGAATTATGCATTTGAAACCGACATAATATTGCTTTTTAGAATTCTTTAGAAAGGCAAATAAATGGATAAACTATCATAAATGTAACTTTTGTCACTTGTCCCTTTATAGCACATTTTTTCTGATGCCTTTTATCTAAAATATACTGGGTTTAACTTTGGTTTGGGTTAAATCCCAGTTGTCTTCCTTGTAAACATATAGCAACATAAGTATGTCACCTTTTTGATCTTGCACTGTGGCATGCCTGTTTTATATAAGAGATTCTGCTGTACTTAATGTATTTGAAGAATGGCATGTTTGCAGATATTTCATTATTCTTAATTCTTCATTAGAATTAGATATTACTTGTTGCTAATTAAAGCAGTTCATATGATGAACTTTATAAGATATATATTTTGCATCAGTCTAATGAGACAATTGAATGATGATTGCTAGAAAAGGACTGAGGCAGAATAGTACAGTGTGTAACTCTAACTACTTTATACATACTTAAGAATCAGGAGAGGCAACTGTTGTCAACCTTAGTCTTACTACGCCCCACTTATCAAAGCATTGGCTTCCATCATGAATTATTCTGATGTTAAGTAAAACCATCATCTTCAATTCATATCACTTGCAAATGTTATAGTCTAAGGAAAATGTAACTTGGTAAGTACTTAAAGTTGTAGATTATTACAAAATCGGAAGAGTTGGATGTAACTGGGATATTGATTATGGTAAGTAGTCATTCCTTGCTATAGGAATAACCACTTTTTAAATGAATCATAAAATCATCCTTTTATGCAAAGATGAAAATATATATAGGCCGTCATATACCTAGAATATGATATGGATGGTTCTAAATATCTCAGTTGGAAAAGCTGGATGTAAAAATATGTTTCCATCTTTGCAGCTACATATATCAGACTATACAATTCTTGTTAGTACCCCCTCTATGGTATTTGGAGAGGGGGCAGAGGAAAAACGTAAAATTCAAGTCCTTTTTTAACCTGACAGAAATTTAAAATATTTTTAAGTCAAATGTTTGCTAAGAGAGGGGATTGAGTTTATTAATTAAAATAAGATTTTTAGATTTTCAGATTTTACTTCTCCATCCTACCTTCCATTGTTATTGAGAGTTGGCTGTATTTTCTTTTTTTCCCCACTGCCTGGCCTGATTTAAAGATACCCTGGAGCATTCCAGAAGTACTGAATTTATCCTTTTGAGAGGACCATATAGTGCTGCCAAGAGGCATAGACCTGAACCACTCAAAGTGTCTCGTGGTTCCAGAATTCTGATTCTATGCTTTTAATTTAGCAAGTGTTGCCTAGTAGCAAAATAGAATTCTATCTTTATCAGGATGCTTAGGATATATAGAAAGAGACAAAAAAGGACATTGAAATACACGAAATAGGTGCAGAGAAATGAGGGGGGAAGTATTTTAATGACTCTATACTTTCATTGACTAATATAAATAATTAATATTAATTTGGTTAATTGTTTACCAAGTTAAGTCTTCAAAATTGAAATTATATAAGTGAAAGAGTTGTCCTAATAGATGTTCTTATGTAGAACTTATCTGTATGAGTCATATTTTTTTTAGCCAGGTCATTAGAATGACTCTTGCCAGTTTTTCTGAGTGATAAAAATCAGGGAGTACTTTTTGGAGATTGATTTTTTCCCCCCACTTACAGGAGCACTGTCATCAGACGTATTATTTTGGGTTCATTTAACTGAGAGCAGTAAATTAGTTTTGATGGTATGTTTAAATGTAAGTGGTGTTTATTGCAAGTACCTGAGATGAGATGTATTTAATTACTCAGTATTGTAAAAAGTCTACTTTTCCATAATTTCTAGTTTCGTACGTAACATTTTGATGGCAATCATCATTAAAATATTATAAAAATAAGAATACTTACAGCCACAGGGAACAAGATTCTCCAAAGGACACCGTTCATGTCACGGATATGGGTAACCAAACTCCACAGCAACTGCTGGCAGTGGCTCATGGGGTGGGGGAGAACATCTGCACACTTTGTGGTATGATTATTGGCACGCTGTTGTTATATGCATGATGTTGTGATCTCAGCTGTATGTAACGTCTTGATCTTGTGCATGAGCTTGTGTTCTTTGTGGCAGGTGACCACATTCTAGTAAAGGAATGTGCTGAAAACCATCTACTTACATTAAAGTTGTATTTCCCCTGCATGTACAAATTGTGTGTGTCGATTTTATTCCAATAGCAGTATTATAATACAGTAGTTTTACTTACCAACCAGCAAGCTATATTACTTGTGCTCCATTTTATATTAAAATGTTTTCTTGATATAGTTGTTTTTAAATTTAGAATCTGAAAAATTGGTAGTGAACATGGTTTAACTTTTAATAGGCTTATTTTTATTTGTGTAAATGTTTTTAAACAGTTTTTTTTAATATCCTCATTGGGATTACATAAAAAAGTCCTTTTTCGTTAACTATGTAAACACATTTTTCCTGTATTCATATAGAAAGAAGGAGATGCATACGATTTTATGCATTTAAGATGTATTATGAAATAAATTTTGTTTGACCTATACTCATTTTAGATGGAATGAATATGCAAGTTATTTTCAAGATAACATTTTGTTGTTGGACCAGCTAAACTATAAACAGGAAATTTGTAGGCATCCTCCATTATAGAAAGGATCTCAGGAATTTATACTCAATTCTTTGGCATAGTATCTCAGATATACCCTGCTGACTTTTATACATCAACAAAATGACCATACACTATATATGACCAATATACAAATGATCATTACCATTACTTCATAGCACAGCAACAGTGGTGAAAAATAACCTGAACTTTTATTCTTAGGGATATAAAATCCTGATGAGTATTATTAGAATATACAGATAAGTATTTTCTAAATGTTATTCTTTGGGAATACATAGTTAAAAAGGGGCTCTCAAGTCTAATAAATTTGAAAACAGTATATTATAATTAATGAGCTTATTTATAGTATAAATTTTCAAAGCCTTTAATACATTATGCACATTGCGAATATCTAAGAGGAGGAATGTTATTTGCAGTATTATCCAATTTGTTTGACATAGTATTGCTTTCTATGGGAGTTGGGGGCAAGAACATTCCAGTGAACACACTTTGAAATAACCTAGTAAAGATTACCTGTGATCTTACTTTGTGTAAATAAATATTTTAGAATGGTTGAAATACCCTGTTATTCACCTACAGCTATCTGATGTAATGTCTTTTAAGAAAATCTGTGTGTGTGTGTGTGTATACACACATAAAATTGTTTTCTTTCCTTTGATAGTTTCTATTACAAAAAGAAAAAACTCAGAGAGTTGAGTTGTCTTGACAGACTGAGAGATTTTTTTCCATGTTCTATATTTTGATTGCCACCTAACTTGTTAAGATAAATGTTTGGAAAATAAGAGTTGAACAATAAACCTGAAAGCAATATTGAACTCAAATAACTGCCTATACACATTGATATCAGTATCAGTTGCAAATAATTTTTTTAATCAAATCACATTAGGAACGTTATGTGTCAAATAAGAGAGCATTCATTGTTACATCCTTGGTATCTCATTCTTTACCCTAACTTTGTTAAATTTTAGTATCTCCTGCAACACAGGGGCATTCCTAGTGAAGGCTGACAGGCCACTAAGATACTTTTTAGTTTGGAAAATGTACTGCCTTTGAAGGTTTTATCCTTAGTTCTGTAGGTCTGGAAATTTGACTTTATCTTTCTACTGAAAGTAGATCAGTCT